CCCTTTGCTGCCTGTGATATAGAGGCAGTAAGGGGGGGAGTGGGAGCCTGTGCCCACAAGCACTGGATCCTCCTGACCCTCCACCCCTGCCCCTGATAGTCAATAGTGCGGAGGGTGAGGGGGCAGGAGGGAACTGACACGTGCAGAGAGCTGGCTTTTAAGCAAATATTCTGCATGTGCCAGCTCTGTGGAACCCCCCCACCCCATCCCCGGCCTTCCCTCCCTCTGCAGGCAGGGGCTGGTGCCAGTCCATGCTGTTGTCTTTGTATCAGAGGCAACGGTGCAGGGCCTCAGGTGGGAGACAGTCTGTGCGGGAAGACAGGTTTTGGACCGGCTCCACTTGCCACCCTGTCCTGCTGCCTCTAAGAGGCCAGGTGGGATCCCTGCCAGTTAGGGAGGCAGTGACTTGCCTGAGAAGTCTGTGAAATCTAACCCTGTCCCTGAGGCCCAGTTTAGTGCCTTCCCTGCACAACTTGCCTGCCTTTCTGCTGGCATTGGAGTTGGTGATGCTTGGGGAATTTTTTTTTTCTTATCTCCCTTCTCCTTAGAAGCTGTGATTGACAACAGGCCATTTACAACTTGTAATTGCACCAGGTGTTGTTATTACAGAGACAATATATTCTTAAACAAAAGATGAAAATGTAAAAAGCAAATGTACATGGAAGCTTTAAGCAGATGACTTGTCCTGTGGTAGTGCACAGTGTGCTAACTTGGATTATTTATATGGAAAAACACTAGATACTAATTTAACCACAATTTCCTTTATTAAGTTTGAAGGCCAAAAGGTATTTTATGCAATTCTGACAAACCTGCATAATATCCTAACAATAGGCAATCATTACTCTCAATAAAGTATCTAAGTTTTCATAAGCATGTGATATTTACAAGTAGGTTGGACCTAGAGGAAGATGTCTTATTCTGGCATGCTCCATTCTGACACACATCCTTCAGATTCAGGGCTTGCTTTATACTCTCCGGCTAACTTGCTAATTTTAGCAAAAAACTAGTTTGAATCTATTTATTCTTACTGTCTTTTTTATGTCCTCCCTCCTTGATTATCAACAGGAGAGAGAGAGGGTGTGTGTGTTTCTTTAAAGACAGTTCTTTTATTTGTCTTGTTACAGCAATTTATTTTATTACTTTTTGAACCATGCATTCTTCAAAACCTACAAGTAATAAGTAAGATTACTTATTATTCTTACGGTCTTCTAGGATTTTGAGTCTTTGAGTCTGATTGCTATGTAATGGATTTGGTGCTAGGGATGTTAGCGACTAGTCGACTATCTGATCAGCAAATGAAGAAGTTGACTAGTCACTTCTCCTCTCCCTTCCTTTGCTGCCTCTATCAGAGAGAGGCAGCAAGGGGTGAGCAGGAGCCAGTGCTTGAGGCACTGGCTTTAAGCCAGTACCCGCCACCCTCCCGGCACCGTCTCCACAGGAGAAGGAGAGGCAGAGGCACAGTGGGGAAGCAGTGCGAGGGGGGACTGCTTCAGTCTCTGCTGCACTGTTCCCACTGCAGGCACTTCTGCTTTTGAAATGTAAAGAGCCCTCTGGGTTCTTGCACATTTCAAAAGCAGAAGTGCTGCAAGGAACATGGGTGAGCGGGGACTCAAGTAGTTCCCGCTCGCCCCATGCTCTCTGCAGCGTTCCTCCCCCTCTTTGAGGCAACAAGGGAGGGGGAGAGGAGGAGAACGACAGGAGCCAGTGCTGGAGGGAGGCAGCTCTGTGGGGTGCTGCCTGCTGCGAAGCAGCTCCTGTCTGCAGGGCCCTTCCCCTGTAGACAGGGGCTGTTGTCACCAGGCAGCCTCTGTTTGCGGGCGGCTGCATGAGCAGCCCCTACCCGTGGCCAGCTCTGGCTTCTGCGAACGGGCTGGTCCAACACCAGCCCTTGTTCGCGGTGGACACAGCTGTCCACCACAAACATGGGCTGGTGCTGCCTGCTGCGAAGCAGCTCCTGTCTGCAGGGCCCTTCCCCTGTAGACAGGGGCTGTTGTCACCAGGCAGCCTCTGTTTGCGGGCGGCTGCATGAGCAGCCCCTACCCGTGGCCAGCTCTGGCTTCTGCGAACGGGCTGGTCCAACACCAGCCCTTGTTCGCGGTGGACACAGCTGTCCACCACAAACATGGGCTGGTGTACTCAGCGTGAGCTGGGACTGAGCAGTCCTGGCTAGCACTGATCGCTGAGCCTCTGTTTTTTGAAATATAGGAAGAGCTCAGTGGCTCTTACTACATTTAAAATCCAGAGCTGCAGCCCAGGTGTCTCCGGAGCCAGCATGAGCTAGGACTGCTTATTCCTGGCTGGAGTGGGCTCCTTTAGTTACCCCCACTGTGGCTGTGCACAACAGCACTTATCTACTAATTGTATAATTGATACAAATTGTATCGACTATACAATTAGCCAGATAATTGCATTTTGACATCTTTATTTGGTGCTATTGGAAAGTTGAACTGGTACTATGCTGTTGCTGTCAAACAATATTTCCTTCTCGCAGTTAATTAGAGGCACACTATGCAGCTTAGCCCTGTAGTCCTGGAGTTTCATGGGCTGTTTGGACTGGATTATGTCCCATGCTTTTAAACTGAATACATAAATAATTAAAAAGTAAGTACTGGCATATTTTTTTCATGTAAATCAATTTTAGCAGCTGTTGGCTTTACTGTACATGAGAACTTCTGTTACAAATAACCTCTATTCACAGGTATTTGTAACTGAAATATTCATAACTGAACAAAATGTTATGGCTGTTTTTTGAAAAGTTTATAACTGAACATTGACAGCTTTGAAACATTACTATTCAGAAGAAAAATGCTGCTTCTTCCCCCCCCCCCCTTTTTTTTTTAAGTAATTTAACACAGTAGTGTACTATATTTGCTTTTTGTCTCTGCTGATGCCTGGTTGTGTACTTCTGGCTCCAAGGTGTCGTAGATTAATCAATTCTAACTGGTGTTTGTAACTCTAAGGTTCTGCTGTATGCATCTGATAAAATATGGCCCCATGCAGTTCCCATTTAGGCATGTGAGAGTTTTCCTATTGATTCGAATGTAAACAGGTCAGATACTTAATTTGAATCATAATCTTTTTCTACAGTATTTGTTTATATTGGCAGGGTACAGCTGTAGATTGCAGAGCAACAATGTTAAGAGTTCTAAGGAGACTTTCTGTGAATGTCCTGAAAGCATCAAGTGTGTGCAACAAGGTAAGTTTTTCTCAGATTTTTATTTGCCAGAGAGCAGTTGCTTGGTATTTTCTTTTAAGCAAAATGGGATACTTTAAGCAATCTGAATAACTCTATATATTTAATGTCAGGAATTAAGCTTAATATGCATTCTGTTTCAAATATCAAAATAGGTTTTTATTTTACAGTTTGTGAGGAAGTTCAGAAATAAGTAGATGGGTTTTCATGTGTATATCTTTACTTCAGTGAAGTGGTAATTTCAGTAAAATGTTTTGTTTATATGTGTAACTCCAGTGAGGCCCAGTATGCCATTTGGTCTCATTCCCTGTATGTGTTTGAACTAGGGATGTGAAGGGTTAACCAGTAAGCCTCACTGTTAACAGGTGAGGTTTACTGGTTAAATTTAACTGGTGGGGCTGGAGCAGCTTGGTGCCTGCCGTGTGCGAATAGGGGCTGTTCCAGTGCAGCTCCTGCCTGCAGTGCACCCTGATTCACCAAGGAGAGAGGTTGCTTCGGCCGGGACACCAGAGCAGCTCCTGCCTGCAGCAGTGGTGAAAGTGTTCCAGCTGTGCTGGGCACCCCCTCCCCACTACGCACAACCCTTTCCCCGATAGTCAGTTAACCAGTTAAATAATATGTTTAACTGGTTAGCCAATTAAACACGATTTTACAATTCTAGTTTAAATACTGTTCTTACTGACAGTACAGGCAGTCCCCGACTTACGCGGATCCGACTTATGTCGGATCCGCACTTACGAACGGGGCTTTTCTCGCCCCGGAGCTCACGGGCCGCGGGTCGCCACCCGTGTCCTCTGGGGCGAGAAAAGCTTCTCCCGGTCCCCCAGGTCTGCGGGGGGGCGGGGGTCCAGCAAAGCCGCTGGCCCCCCCCAGCAGACCAGGGACACCTGAGCAAAGCCGCCGCCTGGGCGGCTTTGCTCATTTGCCCGGGAGCAAAGCTGCCCAGGTGGCGGCTTTGCTCCAGGGCAAACGAGCAAAGCTACCCAGGCGGCAGCTTTGCTCGGTTGTCCCTAGTCTGCCGGGGGGGGGGCCACGGGGTTTG